GTCATCATACAGCTCCTCTTTAGTTGAAATAGCTTCTGAAATTCCATCTGTCATCCAAGGATTGTTAATTGGATTTCTTTTGGAGACTTTGGGTTTATCTAGTTTGCAGTTAGAGTCAATTGTATGTGTGAAGATGTTAAAGAAGGTTTCAAAGTTGGTACTGTTTGCCATGATATCTTCTTTAGATTCAAGGTCTGTAATTAAAGTATCAACATTTTTCTTGGAGAAGCTGTAGTGTTGGAGTAGCTTTTGGTCTGAAGAAGTTTCGTTCATAGGCATGCAAAGATTGAACATGGCTATGATTGGTTTGTGGTGGGAATTCATATCATCAATTACCCCAGACATCGTGACGTGTTCAATGTCGTTGGTGAGTATATTGTCTATGCAGGAATGTTGGTGAATGTTTGTGGAATGAGTTGGTAATGAGATGAGCGGAAAGAATCCCAATGAAAGAAACAAATTTTCAAATTTTTGAGTTGTGGGATTTGTTCTCTTTAGAAGGTCAAAGTTGTAGTCTCCCAAAATTATAGATTTTATGTCTTTGGGGAAGAGTGACTTCAGGTGTGTCAACTCATTGAGAAACTCTTTCGAGTCCCCATTGGGTGATCTATAAACCACACCAACATTAACTTTTTCACTCCCTTTATTGACAGTAACAAAGAGTGATTCAAGGTTTTTAGTTGTACTGATAAGCTTGTCGTTTATGGTTGCATTGAAGGAACAGTGGATATATAAACAGACACCTGTTCCTTTTGTTTTATTTGGAATTTTGTCATTATAGAAATGCGAGTAGTTGCTTAATTTGTACAGATCACCTTTGTTTTGATTAACATTTGTTTCAGCAAGAGCAATAGCTGAGTAGGTAAGTTTTTGCATGCTCATTTCTGCAGAAAAGGAGTCAAAGTTGGATAGATTTCCATCTATATTGTAGAACATTGTGCTAAAATCAGAGTTATTAGGGACCTTTTCATGGACTGATTTAAGTTTGTAACTCTTACAGTTTTCCAAAATTGTAGATGCTTGGTTAATGCAATCAAAAGACTCTAGAAAGTCTTCTGAGTAGAACTTATCATCAGACTCTTTGTCAAGTCCTATGAGTTCCTTAAAGGGGTTGTAGATCATGACACTAATACTGAAGCAGTTGGTACATAAGTGTCCAGAGCCTCCTTGGCTAAATTTTGATTTTTTGAAGCATAATTTGTGTATTATTTTGGGACAATTTTGACATTCCAAGTATCCTTGACCAATAAGGATGTTTTTGTTGCAGCAGTCGCATATTTCTCGTTTGATTGATGGAGTCATTTATTCATACAGGGTTTAGTGGGCCACCTCTGAGTGCGTTAGAATATAACCTACTGCTTGATAATTTGGTTTTACTAGATTTAAATTGAAAGATGCAGCGTTTTAATAGAACAACAAGGATGCTGGTGCCTTTTCTATTGAGATGGAGTTCATCTCCAACATCAGTCTTTGCAAGATCATAATCTAAAAGATTTGTTCGCTTGTCTAGGAACTTGATAAAACCTTCAACTAGGATAACTTTAAGGTCACACTGGCATAAATCTTCAGCAATAAATCTATTAAACATAAAAATTCTACGGTTCTTGTCGTGTGATTTTGTGGGAAGTACTGGACATATGAATATTTTACATTTAGGGTTGTACTTCCTTATCAGACTAAGTTTTGTTTTATATTGCTTATAAAGTTCTTTGACCTTTTGGTCGGTAACTTTGTTCTTAAGGTCATTAGTGCCCACCATTAGCACAACATTACGGTATGATGTGCATGATAGTGGGTCTATTGAGTCTATTGTAGGAGCCCAAGATCTGAGGCCAGGGGTCGATTCACCAAGTTTACCTTTGCCGCTTCCGAATGTTATCGGCCCAAAGTTAGAATCCCCTATGAGAATAGTTGAGTTGAAGTTTGACCAGTGGATGGCCCTGAATGTTAGACTGAAGCGAATGCCGTCAGGGACAGAATCATCATCTTCTTTTTTGATGGTGTGTTTGAAGAAGTCTTGACTATGCCTAGTCATCTGGTACATGCTTCTGCTATTACATTTGACAGTCATTGTTTCGTCAGACTGTAGGTTCCTAAACTGAAGGTGACGTGGGATCCCTAGAGATATGGTGAAGATAGATGACTTTGGGTCAATATCCCCCTCATTGTCTGCGTGTTCTGGGAGAGTTGACTCCTTATCATCATACATGTTCACTAGGCAAGAGTTTAGTCTGTAGTGGTGCCTTTCCTCTTGGTGTGAAGACCCATACTCATTGTTGAGACGCTCCATCAGTTTCTTGATGGGTTCAGGCATCACCAAAGGGTTTGACTTTGAACCCATGTACTTGTAGTGCTCTCCATATTGAAGTACATTTCTTTGCCCCTCTAGTGAGAATTCTGCGAGTTGAGTCTGTAGCATGTTCTGTCAGCGTTCTAAAATACACCGTATGAGATCAATTTCATACCGAAAGGGCCTATTTCACAAGAATGTTCTTAAAATTTGGGCGAGCGATTTAGTAGAAGCGGAAGCCAATAACTGACGATGTTAAGCCTTCGCAGCTAGCTCGGCAACCCCTGCAGTGGTCCTGCATCTTTCACCTAGCTTTCGCACCGTTGCGGGAGCGCTTGTTTCAAGCACAAGGGCTCTGGATAGAGCAAGTGCATTTTGTTGACAGATGTTACTCGTCTAAATTTCTTCAAAGTACCCTGTGTAGCCTGCGCAAAGTTATTTTGAGAGATATTCTGAATTAAATAATTATTGGCACGCTGTGAACTGATCTAGTAAATCGTCAATTATTCACCATGTACGTATCCCACTAGGCACTGCACTAATTGATAGCATAGTATTACTTCACCTAACCATGTGCTTTCGCGCCACTGCGGGCTCGCGCTACTGCAAGCACAAGGGCTCTGGATAGAGCAATAGTATTACAATTATGTACAGATTCGTGTTTGTCATACGTTGTAGACCTGCAGCGCACTTGACCATTGACCATTGTTAACGGTCTGGCCCGGCGCGCGCGCTACCACGTAGCACGTGCCATAATATTTCGAGAAGAAAGCGGCGCGCGCTACTTCGAAGAAATTTAGACGAGTAACATCCGTCAACAGCGCACGAGATCGCGGCTATATTGTAGTCACGATACAAGTGAAACTTAGTGAAACACTTAGTAAAACGTTGTCATACGTTGTATGACCCCTGTATCGTCAGGACTTCTCATAGCCATGTGTATACGCGTACTGCGTGACGCGCTTGTTTCGGCGGTCGCGCGCTACTGCAAGCGAGAGGGCTCTGGTTAGAGCAAAGTTAGGACGATAAAGTGAATACGACCGTAGGGGTCACAACGTGATACAAGTAAAACGACATTGGAGGTCGCGACGTGATACAAACTTAACCCTGAGTGATCTAGTAACTATTCGAAACCTAGTTATTCCTTGTATCACGTGGTATGGTGACCCCCACTGTCGCTTCCTGTAGAGTTTCTACGATACAGGTGAGCCGCACACTCTGCACTCGTGCGCGGCGGGTCATACATGACAAGTTATTCCTCTACTTTGACCGGACCTCAACCCTAACCCAATCCCTTACCTGGGGACCTCAGGCTATTATGTTCATAAACATATGAATAGAGATTCGGCGGAATGACAGGCTGAGCGCCGCCCAGTAACCCAATTCCTAACTGAAGTATCCACTTACGTACACCTTTACTTGTAGCGCGATGCGTTACTGTGCCGCGCCGCGCACTCAATGAGGCTTCTCACAGAAGATCGGCGAGATGCGCTACTGTGCCGCGCCGAGCTGCAAGATGAATTGACATCGTCAATTAAACCTTCACTGACGTTCCCTTTGTAGGTTTATAACCTACCAGGACGCGCGCCGAGTTGGACTCGTCGACGGTCCTAATATTTGGAACAAATATTTTACGAGTATTACCTGTTAATATAAATGTTTTCCTGAGAAAAGGCAGTAAGTCACATCAATGTTACTTTGAGAAAATTGAAAATGGGACAAACGTGTTTGTCGTTTTTCATTTTTTACGTAATTTTACTCACATAGAAGCGGTTAATTTAAACATTTGCCCTCTTTGATCGACGGCCCCAAAAGGGGAGGGGGCCGCGGCCCGGTCGCCCGGCGTGCACGAAAAAGGTATGCAACTTGCAGCAAAACATTTATGCGTAAATAAATGATTGTCATATGTCCTAAACATGCTGAAATGTTAAAAGCATAAATTCACCAATGACCAAAACTGATCTTTAAAATAATTCTTCTCGCAACCACTTCGTTAGATCGGCAAAATGCTTGACTATGCATTGTTAATGGTTTGGCCCGGCGCGCTACTTCGTAGCACTTGCCATGTGCCATTTCGAGAAGAAAGCGGCGCGCGCTGCAGCTCCTCCTGTGGCTAGTATAGCTAGAATCGAACAAGGGCAACATATTTGATATTGGCGCGTGGGCACGTACGCACGCAGACATGACGGTTGCAAAGCTACCAGTACCATATAAAAAACCTTGTGCGCTAACCCCTGTCTTTGACTCTTTTGTGCCTTCGGTGCTTTGACTTTTGAGTCTTGGATCGCGCGATCGGGGAAAAATCTACCAACATTAGTAACGTAAGGCGTCAAAGTTTTGTCTGTGCCAATGCAACTAGAAGTCTTGGCGCTTTATGTTACATTGACTATGGTGCACTGTGAAAGTGTCACTAGTATAGAATAGCTATAGGTTCTTCAGTGCACATAACTCAGTTCATTTTAGTACTTCACCTAACCATGTGCTTGCGCGCCGACCCGAGCGCGCTTGTTTCACGGAAAGGCGAGCGCGCTACTCCAAGCTTAACGGGTGATACTCGTAAAATATTTGTTCCAGGACCGTCGACGAGTCCAACTCGGCGCGCGTCCTGGTAGATTAATTATAAACCTACGATTGGATTTGTAGATGTGACTTTGGTGGTACATATTTATTTTATTTAAACAATTTTCTTTCGTCAACAACAAAAAGCAGATCAAATAAAAAAGATATCTAACTACTTTTTCAAAAACGCATATCATAATTCATGTAAGCAAATTACCTAGCTTGCTAGTTTATTTGCTATTGCTCGCTACTCTCACGTTCGGGAAGCTTGAAAAGAGCGCCGCGCACAGGGACTGGCGTGCCAGGTAAATAAGCAAACTGATATATTCAATCAAGTAATACAAATTAGAACATTTATAAATAATCAATATTTTAAATATGTGGACTGGCTTATCGTTACGCTTCCTACACCCTTAATTGGTTAAGCGACTGTACATGTTTAGACCACTTCACCAAGTTTATCTTTATAAAACACCCAAAATAAGGGTTAAAACATTTGAAATTAACTTACAGTTACTGGGCGAGGCGGCACTCAGTCTGTTATTCCGCCATATCTTTAATTTGTGTTTAAAAACACAAAAGCATACTGTCCCCAGGTAAAATAACTCATATCTTATTAATAAAGCATGAATACGGCAGTCAAGTGTGTTATCTAAAAATATTAAACATTTAAAGTTAAATTGCGATAGCCAATTATAGATGCAGCATATTTAAAAAGTGTTCCTCAGCGTAGCTACACTGTGCACTGCAAGTGCATGCAACTGACGAAGTCGCCAAAAAAAGGTCGATATGTCACAAAACATCATGATCAAAGACCTACCTATCCACTTAAAACATGCCCACCAAATGTGATTCCAAATTAGTTTAAAATCAAAGATTATCTTTAAATTTGTCTGAAATCAAAAATACAAGTATTATGTTATTGAAATAAATCTGTAGATGCATAACTCATCAAATTAACCCAATTTTCTGTAAAAAAAACTCATGTCTTCATACATGTTCTATCAGATAACAGTTGCCATTAATACGTCTTCACCGGATCTTCTACTACTACAAAACGCTAAGATATAAATTAACCACATTGTAGATGAACATAAGGATGGAGTCTTGATCAAATCAGTTCTTCTTTCTTCAAGAACTTCATGATGTTTTCTTCTCATGGATCTGGTTACTGAAAATGCTTTATTAGCCGGGATGGACCAATAAAATAATTGGTCATAATCACAATCTACTCATACCATAGCTATTTCTTGGGATTACATTCGAAGTTGACATTTATAGAAATCAATGCTTGCTTTATAAAAATACTTTAGGAAAGTTGAAAAAGAAATCATGCTTCAGCTTCAGTAAAACCCCGATTTACCGCGGAGTTTGGGGAATGGAAACAGCCGCGGTAAATCGGGGTTTGCAGTAAATGGGGGCGCACAACATTCCAACAGTCCAAACAACATTCAAATCGCCACAATTGATTATATTGTTATTTATACTAGAGTGTTTGTCTGACGTAATATTACTAAAGTTACTAACACATTTACTAAAGTTTACTAAAGTTACTAACACATGTTTAACTGCTACTAATGTTGTAGAACAAATAGCAGGTTGTGGTTTTTTACTGATTACCCAACAGAGTAGCACTATTGTTAGTATTACCCTTGTTAGTATCTGCTACTACCACAATTACTCACGAAAAATGGCAGCAAACTCATTACAACAGTTATCAGTTTTGCAAAGAATGACCATGCATTGCACTAGTAAACCTATCAAAGATCATGCACGTATCCGTAATATTCAATGAATCCTCATTTATTTTAAAACATGCACTGTAACAGTCAACAGAACAACATGCTACAAAATATCTTGTACACAAACCGTTTAATTCAGACTTTCAATCTAAAAGTACTACATTTCAAGAAGTCCCCGGTGGCTGATATACAAAAAGTGGCCAGGAAGCTGTTTTAGTAGGAAAAAGTGGCAATATATTTTTCGTCACTGTCAAAATATAGCAGTGTGGAAAATAAAACAGCTAGGGATTAAATCCTTAAATTCCTCGCTTTTGTCTTTAAGTCACCGGGGAAAATTCGAACTTAATTAAATGTCAGGAAAAGAAAAATATCAAAGTTTGAACGGTTCAGTATTTGATATTTTGAAGATGCGACTTGAAGACGATGCAGTTTCACTTTCAGTTCAAACCATCCTACACCGAACTAACCCCTGCATTAAAGTCGCTCCCATCTTCTTTTGATACAGAGCTATTATAGTCGCCCTTATCTTCTTTTAATGCAGAGCTATCATAGCCGACCCTATTTCCCTAATAGAATTATTACTTACGGTCTTTTCCCACAATACCACAATTGAAATTAAAGTTTAATAATCAATGAGTTCAATGAGTTTATACGATACCTTCACAGCATTACAACCATAGAATAGTTAAATAGTACCTATATTACTTAAGTATTGTAGATAGTATTTATATTAAAGTCACTATTGTGACGGTACATTAGAACTAGACAGAAACAAAGTGTGAAGGGCCTGAACGGAACCCCTCGGTTTCAGTTCCTTGTTTAACACTGCCGTACAGCAAGGACATTGGATGATGATTAATCACTCTACACTCGACTGGTACGTGACTTTTTCAATCCGTTCTCTAGCTGGTCCTGAACGACTATTCGAAACCCTCTAATATGATCCCAACCCTAACCCAATCCTTAACAAAAGCATATGCTGAAACCCTAACCCTAACGAGAAATTTTAATTAGACTTACTTCCTTATACGGTCATATACTCGCCAATATCTCGTCAGGGGGGGCATTTTAACCACATAGCTCACTCCACACTATACTCAGATGCTCTATCAAATGTTGCTTATATGTGCTTTTTTCGCCTAAATTTTTAGTTTTTGGCCTATAACTTTCAGTTTCAGTTATTATGAAATAATTGTTATCATCGTGATCAGCTCATCGAGATGAAACTTTTAGTACTAATATCATAAGATTTAAAGGAACATTATTTTCAAATTTATAAAACCTGAACACAATTAAGGGTCTGTCTTGTGTGCAATTTTTTTGAAAAATCTGGTCCTTCAAATATTATAATTTTGGTACCAAAAACTAAAAAGTGCGTCTGACTAAGCTTATTACGATCCTGTAAAGATTATTTCAAAATATGCGGAGTTATAGGAATTTTAAGGAAGAAATTACCTATTTTTCGTCCTTTTTACACTCTTGCAATGCACAGGAGGCCCACATAGTCATACAGCTCCACGTTATCGTGCTACACGGCGAACTTGCATTATTCACACTTAAAGGCAACTTTTGGTACCAAATTTATCAAAATCAGAGACAAATATTCGGTGCCAACTCATGGCGCTTATTACATAGACTATTTAGCATTTACCCATTATAATGTGCTTTAAAGTTTCAATGTGCAGAATATTATTAGTGGTAAACCTGGTTTTAACCCAGCAGCATATCTTTCATCTGTTTTACAAAAGATTGCTGGTTAGGTTCTGCAGTAGTCGTGTAGTTGTTGTTCAAATTGTTTGTTGGCACAAAAGTAGCAGCAACGTTGCCCTAACGAAATGACAAATATAATAATAATGCAGTTCTGATTCACAATCACTTCACACTTGGCTGATATCTAAATTCCTTTTATTTTTGTGGATGATTCGGGGTTTCATCATGTATTTAAATTTGTATTTATATTTATTTGGGATAATTCTGTTTTAAATTATCGAAAAAAGAAAGTATTGAGTTTTACAGCACATAAATTATTTTGTCGGCTTTAATTAACAACGATTGAGAAATTTTCAATAATTCCCAAATCAGTGTATTTCATCTCTTTATTTAGCAAGTAGTCACCGAATCACACATAAAATCAATTAACATAGGTATGCTTATTAGAACCATTGATTTAAATTTAGGCACCTGTTCTTTATTAAGGTCAAATATCGACATTCTCATATGCAGCCTCGCATTTGGCCTCTTCATTGACTTTGACTGAGTTCATACTGACGATTCCACTTTCTTTTGATTCTTGATAGTCCTGTTGGCCTGTTTTCTAAAGAAAAATACCACATTTATAACCGGTCCTGGAAATTACTGGATACCTAGAACGTTCGCCGAAACTAACTTCGAGTGAGGAAACAAATCGTATTGATGAACAATCTAGGCTCACTGTGATCGGTTCAGGCTCTGATTACTGGCTTTCTTTTATAGTAATTATAGTGCACACCAGCCAATTAGTCGAAAGGATGCTAGCCATTAAGCGAACAGCATGGTATTTAGAGAACACGTGACTATAGCACTTGACAATAGCACTTGACAACGATACTCAACTAACTTTATCTCATAAGTACCTTGGAACAAACCTTGTTTGAGTTTAAACATAACAACTTTTTCTTGAATACTACAACACCAGCCACTGATACTATCACAAGGATCACAATGATCACGATAACTGCGATTGCCCAACCTGGAAAACCTTCCTCATCTGAAATAATAAAGAGGGTGTTATTGCTTAATCAGTGAATGGATTTGACTTATCGTGGGCAGGTGCAGCATATCTTTAGGCACGTGACAGCGAAATTAACCAATCAGTTTCCACTAACGCAGATAAAATTTATAAATCGATGTCAAGAGTTTTAAAGATATACTCCGCCTCCCTAAATAAATCAAATCACCTTAAAAACTTTCATAGCAAATTTCAAATTATTTGGTTTATTTAATACACATTGCAAGAAAATTTGCTTTAAAAGTTGATGCACAGTTTAGCAGTCGAGAGTGAGTGAATGCTGAGATGAAATTAAATAGAAATATTTCGCCTTGCCCAGGTTGTTGACTTTAATCCTCAAAACTAAACAGTAACCTAAAATCTGACTAAATTCATCCGCAACCTTTCCACCAGGTCACTACTCTAGCACAGTGGCGTAAACAGATGGGAAACAAATTACTGGCGTGGAACGTCCGAAGGTCGAACGAAGGTCACATATATGTATGTATATTATGTATGATTAAGTGTGTGTGTGTGTGTGTGCTGTTTATTTTTGTTCGACTTAAAGAATAAATGTCTTAGTGCTTCACCACAGATAAGACTAATTAATCAGGAAAGGCTTGTTTCTTGTCACAAAGAAGTATATAATATAATTATATCCTTTAATAGTGCTTCGGTACAAACAAATTAACTAATCCCTTTAACTGTTAAAGAAAACGGATTTTGTCACAAAAAAGAATACTAGTTTAAATGCACATTGCACAGGTAAGACAGCGAATCTATCAATAAGACAGTCGTCTTGGCATCTTTATGTCGTTACTCAGTGTGTTCATGGCTGTCTGACTTGCTCATTAAATTGAAGCCCTGGAGTTTATCATCCTTACAACCACAGTTATAAGTTTGGTGGTTTCAGATAAAAATGGAGTGCACTCGTATAAAGATGGTTATCGCACACGTATAAAGATGGTTATCAAAAATTCCGAGCTCTGCAAAGAAAGTCGAATTGATGGAACTGGAAGTAACGGAAGAATCTTATATTGATTATCAAGGGTTACAAATAAAAGATAGCAACATTGATATCTCTTTCAATACGCCCTAGATCTCTTTAGTACTATAGCAAATTTAGCTTTGAGAGGCTTCATTTAAAAATGGTAAAGCTGACTTTGAAAAGGCGTACTTTTCTATGAAACTCACTTGTGCTAGGGCTTGTGTCACCTTTTTCAATACACTTCGGAAGATTCTTCAAACTGGAAACGGTCCCATCAGTCTCGCAAGTCAGCTGAGAATGTTCCGGAACATAATCAGTTTTGCATTTGACAGTGAAGTTTTGACCCGCGTTAACCTCTTCTGGACTTATGCTTTCAACATTATCAGTGTCCGTGAGTTGTGGTTTAGAACAGGTACCAGTAACACACTTTGGGGAATGATCCAAACTGGACACAGTCCCATCAGTCTTACAGATCAGTCCAGCATTTTCAGGAATATATCCAGATCTGCACAAAACAGTGAATTTCTCTCCAGCGTTGACCTCCTCCGGGCTTACACTTTCAACATTATCAGTCAGTTCTGGTTTAGAGCAAGTTCCAATAACACAGTTTGGTGATGCAGGAGACAACTTCCCATCTTTCCCACACAATAGTTCTGTTTCACCTGGCACATAATCAGACATGCAAGTGATGGTGTACTTTTCTCCGGCTTCTATATCAGCAGTGTCAGGGGTGACAGTAGCAACGTTGGAGTCTGTAGGCTTGCTGCACTTTTCTGGTTAGAAAATGAGTTTAATATCTTCAGATGTTATATCATTCAACAGCAACAATGCTGAAATAGCGAAGTAAAGAGCTCCTCACAAAAAATTCTTGAGCTCTTTAATACTAAGTTAGCTTGGCAATAACATGTAAATTAAACATTTTATACAGTTAGAATTTGCATTCCGACCTGTACTGAATTTAATCAAAATAAATTGCATGCAACATAAATTGCATTCTATATTTCTAATAACTTAATGTAGAATGGTATAGAATTGTAGATGGTACAGAAACATGAACTAGCGAACCTGCGACTTGCGAGACTTAAAAATATAAAAAGTAGCAGCTGCCATCTCCAGCCTTAGGAACAATAACTTGACTTTACGAGTGCAGAATAACAAGCAAAAGCTGGAATCTAAAACGAAGCTGGAATTTACAGCAAAGCTGGCATCTTTTAGTTCAGCTCAATCTGCAGCGTTAACGAGGAGACACGATAAGATCTACCAGCGGGGGACACAGCAATTTATTAATAACTTTATTATAAATACCTTGTGCGCGTACCATTATAATAGTGACCCTCATTTTACCGGCACTAATTCGGCCGATTTTTATAACTTAAGCGTACAAAGTGGGAAGATAACAAATACTGGCAGCAAGATGAACGTTTACTCCGAATAGCTTTCACCTTGTTCGTTGCATTTTGGGGAATAGTCTAAACTAGAAAAGGTTCCGTCGTCAGTTTGACAGATCAGTTCAGCATGTTCAGGAATATACCCAGATTTGCACAAAACAGTGAATTTCTCTCCAGCGTTGACCTCTTCCGGGCTTACACTATCAACATTATCAGTCAGTTCTGGTTTAGAGCAAGTTCCAATAACACATTTTGGGCTATAATCCAAACTAGCAGAGGTTCCGTCAGTTTCACAGATTAGTTCAGCATTTTCAGGAATATACCCAGATTTGCACAAAACAGCGAATTTCTCTCCAGCATTGACCTCTTCCGGGCTTACACTATCAACATTATCAGTCAGTTCTGGTTTAGAGCAAGAACCAATAACACATTTTGGGGAATAGTCCAAACTAGAAGAGGTTCCGTCAGTTTTACAGATCAGTTCAGCACTTTCAGGAATATACCCAGATTTGCACAAAACAATGAATTTCTCTCCAGCGTTGACCTTCTCCGGGCTTACACTTTCAACATTATCAGTCATTTCTGGTTTGGAGCAAGAACCAAGAACACACGTTGAAGCTGGAGACAACTCCCCATCCACCGCACACAATAGTTCCGCTTCACTCGGCACATAATCAGAGATACAAGTGATGGTGTACTTTTCTCCGGCTTCTATCTCTGCAGAGTCAGGGGTGACAGTAGCAACGTTGAGGATGTTCGGTTTGCTGCACTTTTCTGGCAAGTATACAAATGTGATATACCAGTCGCTACCATTCAGCAGCGGTGGTCTAGCTACAGTGCATTTTTGAAAAAAGCTTTGCTTACTGAATCAGCAGAAATTAATACATACACTGTTGACTGTGGCAACAAAATAAAAGTTGTTTTGAGAGATGGGGGAGGCGATATAGACTTAACTTTACAGGATATTCGCAAATTCAGAAGCTTGTGAAAGGTGGTAGATGAGCAAAGTTAACTTTAATAATCTTATAAGAAGGCATTCAAATACGATTAGCTTCATTAGACAATAGAAGTACTTGGTAAAAACTCAGAAATTCTTATACAGCGGGAGGGGTCTTAAACTATAAATAAAAATGAGTTTGTAGTAACAAATTAAACGTTTTAAGCTGTTACAATTTCGCAGGGGTCTGTATGTTGGTGCTATTTTTTTCTAATTGTGAATAAAATATGAATCTAAATGGTCTGAATTTGGAATTTGACACCAAAATGAATACCAAAGACAGCTAGGATGAAGTTTCTTTTAATTTTGATCAGTCCCTAAAATCCCTTCAACTAAAAGAGCAAATCTGTTTAAACGTAAAAACTACATTACAGACTCATGTTATAGAACAACCTCATATAGGCTTTGTGAGTAAAAATGATAAAGAGCGATGATTAATTTATCGAGCATAAAAACATGTGCCACAAAGACCTCAATAAACTTGAATTGTTCTATACGTATAGACAACGACCTGTCTATACGTATTATTGCAGTTCCTCTGTTCCTTGTGAGGCAAAAGCCTTCTAATCTGAACGATGCAGGCTCCTAATTTGAGCAACAGTATTGGGGTGGCTCTAGGGCCGGTAGTATTCAAGTTAGGGTTTAAGTCATCGAGACCTGCATTCTCTAGATACCTGACCGTTTTATATAACATGAAAATCTTACTGTAGCAAAATCACTGACTGTTAAGAATGAAAGAAGCATAACAACAGGACCAATGGTGCTGAAAGCGTTATTCCTGGTTGAATACCATTTACTCTGAAAAGTGAACAGAGTTTTATGGACACTTTTGATGGTGATTTGTGATTGCAAACTGAATTTTATTAATTAAATGAGGGATCAAAATCAAGTAATAAGATCGTAATCAGAACAACAAGATAATTTATTAAAATGAAAAGTTGAAAAAAAAATCAAATTTCGAAAGATCAAGCAGAAAGATCAAGCAGAAAGATCAAGCAGAAAACCCTGAAGTTGGTTACGAGAACTATCAAAACTTACTGTCAACAGGTTCAGGGTCAGGGATCGGTTCTGGGAACATAAGAGTGATATTTTCTGATTTTATAAATTTAAATAAATTTTATGAAGGCTAGTCACATATTCATGAAACTCAACACTACCACCTGGAGTAAATATCATTTATATACAATTTTTGTAAAATCTATTTCAAATGAACCAAAACACGCCGGTTAGTGCAATCTTTGGGAAAAGAGGCAATTTCTATATACATTTAAATGATTATTTAGATATTCAAACATATAGAATGTCCTCTATGGTCACTATGGTAGCATTTCGTACAGCTAGTTAAACAGAAATGTCATCAATAAAGAATAATTTGACCTTATTCAGAAGATTACATAAAAATAGAGATCCTGTTGATCTTGAAGTTTATTAAGACCTATCATCATGTCAAAAATAAATCAAAAGTAATCGTTTGTAATAGTATACCTAACTAAAACCAAAAGTACAGCGAGAATCAGTACAAGCACCAGTGATTGGCTAGCCCTCTCATAAAATCAATACAGTTATTGTGTTAAAATATTAAATAACAGATTGGAAAATGGAAATGATAGCAATAAATCATTTGTTCACCGGCCACAATCAATCTTGTGGGGTAATTGTAAACTGTTAGCTAATCAAGATAAAAAATATCGTCATGAAAGGATAACTGTAGCTACGTATATCTTCAGTTTTCATAGTTAACATATTATAAACTCCTTTGAGATAGAATAATCAGCCGGAATGGAATAATCAATTCTGATAATCCCGGCTCCCGCTGTTAGTTTTCCCGCTTAATAAATAACCCCGGCACGTGTTCTATGACTTATAAGAACTATAAATATACTTGATCTACGTATCAGTTGAATTGCAGGCGGTGGCAAAGCTCCGGCATACTGCTTAAATTACTTCGACTCTTACATTACTTTGACCAGTCCCAGAACTTGTCTTGATGATTACATTTGTCCAGTAAATTTTGTCGTAGCAATTGCACTGTTTGATATTATAGTCGTCTATTTTGATGAAATTCATGACACGATATCGACTCCACTGTTTTTCGCTTGTCAGGCTTAACTAGACGCCCCTTATTGATATTCATTCAATGTTCGAACTGAGGAACTATGTATAAATAGAACGCCAATTTCAACTGTCATAGTACCTTAGTTTTATTTATCTAGTAGTAGTAGTATAATTTACGTCCCAATTCCATTTCATATTTTTCATACTAATCTCATATAGATAGAGTCAAAGTTAAATATTAAAACGAATCAGCCCTAGCACTTAGCGACATCCCAGAGGTGTTTATAACGCAAAACGCTGGCACGCTCAAGGTTATATTAAAATAACCCCTTGTGCTAAAGCACGTCGGCGTTGTTTTCATAACAATCCCTCGTGCTTCGCACTCTAAATTATTATCAACTTTTCCAGCGCGTCGCGGGAAAAATAGAAATATAATCCCTGTGCGTGCCGGCGTTATGTGTGTTATGCTTAGTTCCAGATATAATCCTAAAGCAGAAAGTGCAGCAAGACCAGGAATAGACACCAAAACCCAGGTCCGAGTTTAAGGTCACCTGAAAATAGAATCATTGATATTTTTCATTCTTTCGGTAACTGTCCAGTCCAGATTAAAAAAAACGTATAAGATGGTCAGAAGTGCTAAGTATACTTGTGATAGAGAATAGTAATTATAGGACTTAAAAAGGCAGTTGATGGAAATTTAACGTCCGCCTTCTAATGGCCTAATGGGTGCAATTCTTGTTGATTTATGAAGGCTAGAAATTCAACACTACCAGCTGGAGTACGAATCATTTATATAAAATTTTTGTAAAATCTATTTCAAATGAACCAAAACACGCCGGTTAGTGCAATCTTTGGGAAAAGAGGCAATTTCTATATACATTTAAATGATTATTTAGATATTCAAACATATAGAATGTCCTCTATGGTCACTATGGTAGCATTTCGTACAGCTAGTTAAACAGAAATGTCATCAATAAAGAATAATTTGACCTTATTCAGAAGATTACATAAAAATAGAGATCCTGTTGATCTTGAAGTTTATTAAGACCTATCATCTTGTCAAAAATGAATCAAAAGTAATCCAAAGTAATCGTTTGTAACAGTAGACCCAACTAAAACCCAAAGTACAGCGAGAATCAGTACAAGCACCAGTGATTGGCTAGCCCTCTCATAAAATCAATACAGTTATTGTGTTAAAATAACAGGTTGGAAATGATAGCGATAAATCATTTGTTCACCGGCCACAATCAATCTTGTGGGGTAATTGTAAAATGTTAGGTAATCAAGAACAAAAAAGATCGTCATGAAAGGATTAATGTAGCTACGTATGAATGAGAACATGCAGTAACACAGATTGGATGCGCGTCGTAGTAGTTTGTCACGTGACTCGCGTCATCAAAACACGTGACAGTGCGCGGATGAGATTATCATGCGAATATCAAAATTACTAACCAAATCAAAACACGTGACAGTGCGCGGATGAGATTATCATGCGAATATTAAAATTACGAACCAAATTTAGTCGAGCTAAAGCGAGGCAGGATTAAAGAAACTGTGCCGGGGTTATTTATTAAGCGTGGAAAAATAGCGGGATTATCAGAATTGATTACCTTGCGAGACATAATATACATATTCGACATAATTCCGGTGACCCATATCCCAGATGTGTTTATAATTATAATATTTTCCTGGAATTCTTTCCCCGAAAAGTCGTGGACACTGGTAACCGATAATTTTCCCAAAGGGTTGCCAGAGTATTTTGAGGACAGATTGTGAGTCACCTTAGGGCTCAGACTGGCTGACGGGAAGTTTCAAAACAAATAACAGTGGCGCAATATATATAAATATTAGTATCACTCACTATATTGTATCATGCGCACTTTACTGTCACAGTTGCAATGTAAAAGTATACAACCGCATTATATATTTGATATAATCACGCATAACGCTGTCTTATGAAAGTATGAAATCTCCCTACAGTTGAAACAAAGCGGCCCCAAGAGTGAGCTCTAAGCTTATATTATTACGTGGGGCTAAACTAATTACGGTACATGTTATCCTCCTCGTTCTCTCTCCCATCCATTTATGTCACATTTCTGGAACAAAATCATCAATTAAACCACTTACCAACGGCCGATTTTTATAAAATTTGCTTATGGGCTTCGTCAGAGTTTTGTCAGCACTATACCGAAAAAACCAGTCCCGTAACTATTACCGTTTTTTTTGTATAACCGTTCGGAAATTACACACACACAGACACACAGACACACACACATTCTGGTGTTATTAAGTTGATTGATCTCAGAACAATAACACTATAACAGCACAGCATAATCACATCACGTAAAGAACACCGAAATGCTGGCTTCGTTCAAACAGCAAACATTTAATTTTGACATTCAGCAAATCATTATATTCTTGCTGCACCTACAAATTTAAAAGTGTAGATTATGGCTATCCACCACGAAAATTACTATGTAACGGTACTTACCGGCATCCACTTCTAGAATGCAGCTACCACTACCAAGACCATTGCCACCACAGGACTCAGACGAAATCTTTATTTTAAGACCTTTCTGTTCAGCAATATCCGTAAATTCGTAAGTTTCCAGTAATGTCGAGGTTTCACCTGGAGAGAACAGTTATTTTTCCGATAGTTAAATTTCGAGATGGTTTTGCGTTAAATTTCATGCAACCAGAGCAAATCTTTCATATAAATGCTCAGTAGCATATTTGTAAAAAAAATACTCACATGAATCGGCAGCTGATACACGAAGTCTTTTCGAAAACAAGGTGTTATTATTCATATCAAGCAAATCCGCCTTAAGACACTGAGCTGATGTGATTGGCGTGTCTGCTGGGAAAGTCAAACTGATCTTTTTATCATCTTTAGTTCTTTTTGCTTTGTCACAAATTTTTTGGAATTCGATTGATTCATAATTTTTATTCTTAAATCTCTCCGTTTTCATGACTTCAAATAACTGATACTGGAGTCCGTACGCCCTCATGTATTGCCAATAGATGCACCTGATTAGAAGATAACAGTGAGATACCTTACTAAGAGAGCGTACATCAGGGTCAGATTTTAAGATAATGTCAAAACTATAAAAATATTTGGTCTTAACTGTGCCCTTCAAAGACTAGATCTTCCTTTCTTTAAGAATTGAAGAGTAGGTTTACCCAACGGTTATGCTAAATCTAATACTGGATATCTTTATCACCGTTTCAATGAATTTGAGGTGTCTGATCATGTTTATGGTGAACGGAAAAATGAAGCTGTTATTATTCTCCCCATTGGGAATTACAATAGATATTCAACAATTATCATGAAAACATTTTGACACTGCAAGAATATCTATAAAATTAACCTTGTTTGATGGTTCGCCTGTGGTTCTGGAAGTTCATCTTCATACTTATCTTGATCTATACCTGCCCTATCTTCATAGTCATAATTCTGCTCGGTGTCCGTAATGAACTGGATTTTGTAATCGTTAAGGTAGAATTTCCAGTTGTCTGCTTTCAACAGGATCTGAAATTTTTGTAGTTAGGACCAGAATACCCTTAAATTTATTCTTCACATAATATGATCTTAAACAATCGATAGATCAATGTGATTATGAAGTTAAACAGGTTAACAAAAAGTTTGAAGTTATCATGGAGGTAAAGTTTCACTTTCCCGTGCTTTCGAACAGAATCTAAGATACGTCATAGTAAATATTTTATCCTAAGATTGACTCCGCAAAATAACCATAAACAAACTTGTTTGGCATTGTCCCCAGCTAGAGCTTCACTAGGCATCATGTAGGCTTTGTTGGGTGTTTGTTTTAAATCATCCCCCAGATTCACACAGGTCCGTGACGTTAAGGGGATGGATAGAAACTGAAAGTTTCAGTTTTTATCTTTCACAAATAGAAAAGAAAACAATTGTCGCTGATCTATGGGTAACGATTTTGAACTTAAATTAGTATTAAGATGTTAATTCTTTCATTCATAAAAAACAGGGGGTATTGACAGTAAGAGGATTCACAGTTATTTCACAGATGTAAGTTATTGCAAATGATTCTGGACTTTCTACAGTATGTCGATGACGTCTTTCGCTCATTATAGTTACAGTTCTGTAGTTTTTCATCTAAATTTGGATCCAGCCATGAAATCATCAGGTTAAATAGGGATTCTCGTATAAATATGTACAAACGGTTTGTTGAATATAAAAGATATACCTTGGGAGCAATCACAACTTCAACTTTTCCAACTCCAAATTGTTTGCTAGTTATATCTGCCTCCACTCCATCAGTAGTTCTTTTGATCTGAGATATATTTATTGTTTAGATTGCTGAGGAATTTAATACGTTGTTCTTCGTCAGTATTATCAAATGCTGCCTCCAACAAAGTCAGACCAAATCCCGCCTGTGTAGAGCTTTAAATCGATCTTTAAAGTACACCATAATTTGAATTTCAAATACTAAAGATCAAGAATTAAAACCTTGCACTGGAACTCGTGTTCTCGATGCTTAACTAGATCGGTAACAGTCAGGGTTCGGCCATGGTTGGAAAGCTGAAGATTAGGATAATCGTCGACGTTAAGATCCACTGTGAAGGAACGAACATTAGTTTTAAAACTTAGAAATATTAAACAGTGATATAACTATAACGATGTACAGCTATGATTCATATTTAAAAATCACAAAAATCTTTAAAACGATTGAATTGATTTTTATCCAAAAACATTGATATTACTCACAATTGCATATGATAATCAATCATGAATATTTATCAGTTCACTAGAGATAGCCTGCAAAAGTTTGTCTCTTACCGTCTTGGTTATTTTCCTCGATTTGCCAAATGTAACTGACATCTTCCCATTTACCCCTGCCAGGAGTATCTCTGATGAACACCGTAAAGTTGACAGTCGAATCCTGGTCTACCAAATTTGGTTCTGTTATCTCTGATACAGGTCTTAAAAGGAGGGCGCCCGCATCGTTCTGGCCTTGGGATTTATACGTAAGTTAAAAATCCAGCGTTAAAATAAAGTTGTACAGTAATTAACTGATCAGAATGCAGTAATCATTAAACTTAAAGACTACCACTTTTTAAAAATCAAAACACTTATTTTACTTCGGAGTATTCCAACAGCCACATTGTTACACAAGTGCAACCAGCCAACTACAAGAAGCCGTAGGATTTATTTGGCCAGTGACGGCTAAGGTAATGTGTTTTTCTTCGCCCGAAACTTTGCTGCGATGTGCAGCTCCTAATTTTTAACCATTATACCCGATTTCTCGAGTATTTGGCTGAGTAGACCGGGGGGCTGCATAGACCACTCAGGATCCTTAGCTGAACGTCAACGACGCTCACCCCACGACCAGGCAGACAGTGGGATTCGAACTCGCAACCTCACGATTGCAAAGCTGGCGTTCTAACCGACTGCGCTACCTGGCCGTAAATATATCAAACCAAGCATTTTGTCTCATTTCATGCAGTATATTAATTATATTAATATAATGAAAATAATCACCGTTCGATGTGACTTCGTATTTGGAAAGTTCATAAGTCATATCAGCGTCGTCAAATTCAGTATCGTATACGGCCTCGCACTTATAATTGCCTTGGTCCTCATCTTCATTAAAGATCATGATTAGCAGCGTTCCTCGATCTATGTCATCTTTTGATATCGCACTTATGTCATCTTCAGCTATAACAAGTCTATCGCCCCTAACTTGGTCATTTGGAATGTCTATCACTTCCCAGGTTGAAGTATCTTTTTTCTCAAACGACCTGTCACAGTGCAAAAGAGTTTTGAATGTAATCATCTAAATTTATCAATATCATGTTTTGTTTTACAGTTCAACACTTTAAATCCTAGTTTTATTGAAAACGATTAAGATTTCTCTAAAAATGAAGAAGAATTGATTGGAAAATACTCCGTTGGAGATCAATTAAATTGCTTACCACCGGGCCTTGGTTTTTGGATTCGAATCTGGTAGCTTGCAAAGAAGCTTCTCCATTGCTTTTCCAATAGATACAGATTTGGGGTCTGATACGACGGGCAAATTTTCTTTGGTAGGTGGATCTGAAATATTTCTTATCTTCATGGCAGCCCTGATTATTGTGCAAGCAAGTACTTTAGTACTTTATTGGTTGATAGTTGGTGAGGAAGTGAGAGTCTCCACTTAGTGTTTCAAAACAATTAGTTGTCGACGTTTCAGGCAACACGCCTTTATCATAGACAACTAATTGTTTTGAAACACTAAGTGGAGACTCTCACTTCGTCACCAACTGTCAAACTATATGATCAATCCACTCATAAGAGCTAAGAAAGATTACCATTAGTACTTTATTACTGTGATCATTATTTATCACTTATTTATATTGGTAACAAATTGAATTTAAGTTAACGTACAATAAACGTCCAGCTTGACTGTATGAGACCACAGTTTGACAACAGCATCATCTATCATCGTTATCTCGGCGTAACACTGATAAATGTGGTTATCTGCTGTATCCAAAGTATTCTGCATTGATGGTTTGTCTGTGTACTGCACGTTGGTCAGGTCGCAAGTAGGAACATCATCATCCGAACAGAGCTGTAAATGGTATCAAGATATTGTAATTTGGTGCTTATAACAGTGCTTCTCATGAAAAAGTTAGATCAACAGGCTTTAAAAATGTTCAATCTAGTGCAATAAAGAGATGAGCAACTGCGCCTAATCCAATGTCTAGATAACTGCAAGATGGGATAAGAATAAGAATTGCGCCCGTTGTTTCGTTGTGGCGGACGCTAGATTTCCATTCACTTCAACTACAAGCTCTAATCAGCTCACTCATAGTTCATAATATTATGAATATTGTGTTTTAAATAGGGAAACACTTGTGATTGAATTCAATTGCTGTAGAACTTAATTTTTATCTGTAATTTAAGAAATAGTAAGCAAAAAGTCAACTATACTCATGTTTTATAATTGTACACATCAGTGCAGTATACTACACATACAAATTGGGCTCATTGCCCAATAGTAATACATTAAAATACACTCGCGCCGCGCATACACTGACTAAAGGCTATAATATACATCAAATCTCCGCAAGCAACCCTTGCTCGCGTCTAGTTGTGTAATTGTCAAGGTAACAAACGGAATGACAGTTCATATTTAAACCTACCTACCTCGTTCTTATTACTATTGTCTTTTTACAAGAGTGTGAATGGAAAAAATCAGAAAAATCAAAAAACATCAAAAATCTTTGATGTACCTCTTTGTTCTTGGAGTCGAGAGAGATTGGTTTACTCGTACTAAGATCATAAGTTTTGTGAAACTCGTATACCACTGACTTGATTGCTGGGTGGTCCTTATCACCAAGATCACACCTGAGAAGTATAATATTCGAAATATTTGATATTTCATAGAATATCGAAGATGGGTGCAGCATGGATGAATCTTTTGATCAATCAGTTAAAATAGTGTAGGTCCTAAAATGTCTACTACTCACTTAAGTGACACAGTGGAGTCCTTTTTAGCTATATACATAAAACCATTTTCTAAACTTTTCGTTGTGTCGGATACTTCAGCTGTTAATGATAGGGTTAGATCAGGGCAACAGCATATTTCCACTGATTGAGATACTTGGGAGTGCCTGAAAATAATTGTTTTTCAAGTTCTATTAGATAAGAGTATCCATTAAAAGACATTCTAAAAGGTTTTATTGACACGGGGAAAAAAAAAAAAAAAAAACTGCCTCAACAATATTTGCAGCACTCTGACAATACTTACTAGTTATCATTACAAAACTTAACACGAAAAAAAACTTACCATGACAAAACTTACCATGACAATCTAACCATGACAACACTTACCATGACAGCACTTACCATGACAACACTTACCATGACATCACTTAAAATGACAATACTTACCATGACAGCACTTACCATGACAACACTTACCACGATAAGATGAAAATTGCCAACCATTGAGGCAGTCTGAGGGAAACCATTACACGATATGACAGTTGGTAGATGAGTGTCTACTTTTAGTCACATGACTTGTATCTTTCTACCTATTAAAGTCAGTTTTTGTTAGAAATAAAAAATCTCAAATATCAATTAATATACTGAAGTAATAATATATTGCCAGTGTCACAAGAGCAAAATGAAATTTAACACCAGATAATTGCTTTCAGAAAGACCATCTTGAAACAAACCTTATTAAATATATCATATTGAAATAAGTTATTTTACCACGGATATGACTTCTAGTGCATATGGTTTTCGTTATGTTGCTCTTCTGAGTGGATCGATCATATTAATTGATATTAAGAAGTTATTGTAATGTCTCGTCCATGAGGAAGGCATGTTGCCGAAACGTCGACAAAAATTTGTTTCACACACTGATTGGAGACCTTCACTTCGTCCCCAACTATCAAGCATATGGTTTTCAGTGAAATCGCTTTTTAAAATGAATTTATCAGCGAAAGTTTTAATCGTTTACCTTCCAAGGACCTTATAGCTTATAGAGACAGCTGTTACCAAACTCACCTCACTCTCCCCGCTCACCATACTCACCACATTTACCCCACTCACCACACTCACCATACTCACCACACTCACCCCACTCACCCCACTCACCACACTCACCACACTCACCCCACTCACCCCACTCACCATACTCACCACACTCACCACACTCACCACACTCACCCCACTCACCACACTCACCACACTCACCCCACTCACCACACTCACCCCACTCACCACACACATCAAACAATGTAAGGGGGTGATGCAACGTCAATTAATGTCAATTAATGTCAATTAATGTCAATTAATGTCAATTAATGTCAATTAATGTCAATGTCAGTTTTGCAAAATTTTGGAATACTGACATTAATTGACACGATATTTTTCGACCAGAGATTATGTAGTTCTACCATATTTTTAGCACTTTAGAACGTTTATATCATCAATTTATTCACTACTATCACATATGGAAATGTTAAATGTGAAAAAATTCAGATCATTAAACAATAAAACTAAAATAATACGGTTTCCCGAAATTTAATTTTCTTAAATGGGCGTGGCCATCCAAGGGCGTGGTTCTCAACATCATCAGAACTTAAAACCCACATTAAACGAAATGCCTTCATGACATTTATATTTGAATAACGAATCTTAAACAGCTAACATTACTCCTTCATACTAAAAAAGCCGATTCTAGATATTTTACCTGTATAAGAAACCAATAAAATATGGGCGTGGCCGGTGGGGACCGAAGATGGAAGAGTTGGAGCTGAAATTTTTTTTTGTGGTCTTTGAACCTAAGGATCAACAGATAAGAACATACTCATAATTATTCAAGGACATTTTGTTTTTTTGAACCGGTCTAACTTACATAGACGTGAATATCTTGAATATTTATCGAATAATGATAATCTTAAATTTCAAGCCATATTAATGTCAATTAATGTCAATTAATGTCAATTAATGTCAATTAATGTCAATTAATGTCAATTAATGTCAATTAATGTCAATTAATGTCAATTAATGTCAATTAATGTCAATTAATGTCAATTAATGTCAATTAATGTCAATGTCAGTTTGGGGTTTTTATGGAATACTGACATTAATTGACGTTGCATTCCCCCCCAATGTAATCCCACAAAAAACAAAGATAAGACGGCCGAAAGAGCCACCAACACACAAATGGTGTCAAGTAAAGAGAAGCTAGGTCTCCTGAGTATTGTGTTACAACAACGCGGTGGTATTATATTTCGTTGTTAAGGGAGAGTTGCTAGGTTGCCGTTATGATAATAATTATTTACTTATAGATCATGAATTTCGTCTTTTGAGTTTTGGGTGTGGGGTATAATCCAAAATGTAAAATAGTTAACAAACATAGGATTAATTGTAGAACATTCTCGGGGATCCGCAAAGAGCTCTTCTACAGGGGGGGGGGGGGGGGGGGGGGGGGGGGGGGGGGGGGGGTCTACAACTAAAACAAAAGCAAAAGTAATAAGGAATTGTGTTTTGGCACCTAGCAACACACAAAATAGTATTCAAATTTATATTAGTTGACCGAATAATGATTCCAGAAAAGACACGAATCTTCTTAATCTTGCATTCAGCACAAATAAAAGTATTACGCAACTAAATACTTAACCGCATCATACTCATAAAGCTGAGAGCTTCTAATTGTGTCAAGAGCCTGCACCGAACAAACAATAACAAATATCAACTTATTTACGTAACATAAAACAAACAATACTTTATATAGCCCCCCAGTAAGTATTAATGAATCCATCTGAATTCGTATCTAATACTACAAAAAGAATTAGCAGCAGGTTTTTAGCAACTACAAAAAGAATTAGCAGTAGGTTTTTAGCAACTACAAAAAGAATAAGCAGCAGTTTTTTAGCAACAAAATCATGTTGAGAAATGAAAATGTATTTATCTAGGGCAAAATACTGCTGACAGATCAGAGGCACTAAAATACCATGTCTATAGAGGACCTGAGCTATTTATAGATACCCTGAGATAGTCTGAGCCCGAAGAATAGCCTATAAAGCTATGTGTGTAATATTATAGTAGCTTGGCTTGGTCTAAGACAAGAAGCTATAAATATAGACACAATATTCAATGTCACTCTAGCTTAGTGCAATTCTAATGATCTGAGCACATCACGAGTACGCTTCGAGAGCATGTCAGTCGGTAGTCACGTGACCAGGGCAACCTGAATACACGTGACCGGGGCAACCTGAATACACGTGACCAGGGCAACCTGAATACACGTGACCAGGGCAACCTGAATACACGTGACCAGGGCAACCTGAATACACGTGACCAGGGCAACCTGAATACACGTGACCGGGGCAACCTGAATACACGTGACCAGGGCAACCTGAATACACGTGACCAGGGCAACCTGAATACACGTGACCAGGGCAACCTGAATACACGTGACCAGGGCAACCTGAATACACGTGACCAGGGCAACCTGAATACACTTGTTGAAAGTGAGTCAGTGACCAGGGCAACCTGAATACACTTGTTGAAAGTGAGTCAGTGCCATCCCTGGCACATGGATGGCAATCAGCACTAAAAATCAGCACTAAAAATTGTATCTTTCATTTTTGTAAGTCACTAAAATCAAGTTCAAACTAAAAGTTCAGATTTGCGGTAATACTACAGTTATTTGTGCCATGTAATTGCTTTGTCGCTTAGAGGTTCAGAATAAAGATTCAAGACTTTCACATTTTAGCTCAAAAAATATGATCGATGACCAATGGAATCCATTGGTCATCGATCATATTTTTTGAGCTAAAATGTGAATTGTTAAAGTAATTGTTTCTATGGTCATTGACCATAGAAACAATTACTTTAACTATTTTAACGCTTGCGTTTTGAGCTGAAAAAGGACAATGTTTTAGACCTGAATTTCCTTCAAGCTTCAATCTAAGATTAAGAATTAAATTAAAATATGGAATCGTATGATTAATTCTGCAAAATCGGAATCAGATTTCGATAAATAATGTCAAAATAGAATTGATAATTCTACTTCCTCAACATTTTCTAAATAAATACATCGTTTGTTTGTTTACACTGGACTGTTGCCTAGGTTATCGGGATTAATTACAGAATTCACTTTAGACTTATTAATGCTTCTGATGGAACCTGAGTGGCAGCTTCTTATTTAATTTTAATATCTCTTGAACAAAATATCTCGGTCATCTGAATGGCTAGAGCTCCCATTTTTTCAGAATAAATATAATTTAAAAGGTCAAACACATTGCATCACAAGGTGGCTCGATCTAATCATTCAAAATATCCGAAAAACGCGAAAATAAACGTTCATTCTGAAAAATGAGCATCATTATTATTAGATGGATATATTCTTCGAATAAGTGATAATAGCAAGTCTTACCAAAAAGAATTGTATACTTAATCGTAGTAACAGTATAATGCGGTAGCATTTCACGCATTTATAAAAGTAACATTCTCGAGTGCAGTAGTATTTCACGCATTTATAAAAGTAACAACTTTACATTCTCGAGTGCCTTTTAATTACTTCATACTTTCAGCAAACCTTAGACACAGTTATCCCTATCTTATGCACTAAGTTTTGAAAAGTGCGGTATGAGAGCTTTTGTAAATATTCCCAATATTTAATAGTTTATTTTTTACTATTAACTGACTCATTGATAATTATGAATTGTATAACACTAATTTACACACTTATACACAAACTTGTTCAGCAGCAGTAATTACAGCACTATCTCACCCAGCTAGTGTACAAATTGACAGCATTTCACAAAGTATAGTTTTAATTTAGTTATTAGCCACATTTAACTCAGAGGAAAGATCGATTATTCAGTTAATAAGGCCAATTGTTCACACGTAATTGACCCGCGTAATACGAAAATTAACCCCGGTAACCTGGTAATAAATTCTGGTCGTGCACTTGCTAGTCCAATTCCCAAGGTGCTTGTTTAATTATTACTTTCCTCGGAATCTGAGGTAGAATCTAAGTTAGATATTAAAAGTCGCGGTTTGGTCACTTTACGTTTCAGTGCAGGTTCTACAGGTACATAATGAACTGCCGCTCTTGATCAGGACTCTCGCCTGCCACTCAACCAAACTCATTACGGTCCTTTAAATATTGGTTAGATAACAGGTACAGTCACAGTTACTTATCTCGTAATCTAAGTTAGATAACACACAATATGATTTTATCATCTACAAGTACATTATGAACTACCGGTCTAGATCATGACTCTACCACTCAATTAGAACCCACACGTGCACGCGGATGTCACCATGGAAATTGCAATGTACAATTAACAATACTTAGTGGGTCACATGGCCAGCTGCTGGTATATTATTATAGAGGATCATTTGCTTGTAGATTACTATTATTAATCTGTGTGTATCTCATGCAATAATCCCATCCCAGGTATCTTCGTGAGACTGGCCGTGCTTTGTCCCGACATAATGTCTGCTCTTTCAGTATACACGGTGGGTTAATTTAATCGTCATTTGTTCACTATGTAAATATTCTCGAGG